AAATGTAAAAGTGAGAATAATCAAAAAGGAGATTTATTGTACTTATTCTAAAGCTGTCACACCTTTCCTTTTACAGGAAAGCAACACAGTTTTAATTAAATAGGTCAATCATTTTCCCGAGCTCTGACATGCAGTATGATTGCCTTCTCCAAAGTACCAAACAAGGTGGTAATTAAGAACTTTACATGTCAAAGTGTACGGGAAGTGGCAGAAACTTTGCTTCTGTGCCTATAGAGTCGTGGTTTGATGTGATGACGCAGCTGATCCTGAGTCTGGTATTTCAAACATAAATGCAGAACTCACGGCTGTAAAGCAACAATACAACTCTTAAATATTGGATATGTTAAAATAAAAAGTGACATCCCGATTCCTCAGATATCATCCATCATCCACACACGATTCAGACAAAACACCTGCTGTATCTGAACCGATCTCCACCTTTTGTCTTGTTGCAGCACAGCAGTGGGAAAGTGATGCAGACAGTAAAAGAGTTGCTAAACAGCGAGGTTGCGCTTCATAGAGTGCTGGATGTTTCCGACCCTGCAGAGCGGTAATGACAATGCTATAAGGTAGCGGAGCCTCCAGATCTAACACCGCCTCGGGCTGCACATCACCCATAAAAATTCATAGCTGTGGACCAAGATCGGAAAACTCAAAACCATATTAAACATAATGTTTCCTGCACGGCCGACACAGTGGGTGCGACTTAAGAGAGCTGCTCAGAACTTCACTTCATCCAAAACGTTCACATCATAAGAAAAGACTAGGGACGAGTAATCAAGCTGCTCATAGTTGTTTGAGCTAAATCTTTAATGGTCCATCCAAGAGCCAGATTATGGTTATTGTCAATCCAAAGGGCAATTGCTTCACACCTATCAATCATTTGGAACTTCTTTCTTTCCATTTCAGGACCTTTATCATAGATTTTTTTGCCAGTGCACACACAATTATGATTGATGATTGGAAAAGGAATAGGTTGCAAGGCTCAACGCAGTCAATACAACCTGTAGTGCCTGCAAGATACATTTGAGGGATTTAACTCACAGCAATGTCAACCTTTCCTTCAGAGGCATGAGACAACATACAGGCTGAGGACTGCAAATGCCACAGACAATATTGTTTATGAGGGATTATCTAGTCAAGCCTTCTGGCTAGGAAGATTGTGACCCCAATATGAGCACAGATACACATCAGCACCATGTAAGGCCTAAAGCGGTTCCTGGAAGGCACCGCATGCATACAAGGTCCTTTCACTCTGTCAATCCATGTTTAATCACTTCCACAGAAATTTCTACTGGCCTGCCTGCCATTTTCTCTCATATTTTTCTCCCTCCCCACCTAATTTTTTCTGGTGGGTTTTTGAAGACTTAAGTTCCACTCTTTTTTCTCTCTCACTTTCTTACAAGGCAAATCCTGGGAGAGGTTGATGTGAGGACCAGGCAGAGCAGGGATGTGAAGAATATAAACACAATTTTTTTTATTGTCCAGAGGGAAGGGTGGGGGTGGGTGGTGGTGGTGGGGAGGGTGCAGGGTGTTGGGCGGCGGGGTCTGTAAAAGAGACGAGGACCTTATCACAGCCCAGCAGCTCTGTAATTCGCCGCCATGATAAAGTGGCAGCACGGAAAACCTTACAAGGCTGGCACAATCCAAAGACGGATTAGGTTTTTCTGACATAAGCTTCCTGAAAAACTAATCAATCAGCCCATGCAGTATTATCAGAAGCGTGAGATTAAAGAGCTGCTCCTAATCCCCCCCCCCCCCCCACTGTACATTTTATTACTCTTCCCAGTGTTAGTTGCCTTTAAATATACAATAAATAAATAATAAAACCAAACCTAATTGAGCACAAGGAAGGGGAAAAGGGTTAAACAGCCCTCAGAGGGGGAATTTATGTAGAATTTGTGTTGTGTTACAAAGACGGGGATAAAACTGTTGTCCTTGCCAGAGCCCCTTCTGACTTTGAATAGAGCCTCACTGTTTCGCTCCAGCACTGCAGAGAAAAAACACAAGCGGGATAAAAGTCCTCTCGCAGATTTTTACAACAATATTAGCGGCTAAAACTGACCCAAATCGACTTCACATTCTGACGTTCTTGTTCTAATGATTTTACACTTTCATGGATGGATGAACAGATAAATAACCAAGAGATTAATAAATGAATAAGTAACTGTTGAAATTAATGCTCAATCCTTTGGGAAATGACTTGTAATCCCTTAAATCAGTGCACATCAAAGTTGCAGGGATGAACTCCAAGCATGTGGCGGATCCAGAGGACAAGACATGTTCAGCTTACGAGTAACCAGCTAAGCTTTGTCTCTTTAATGCGTCACACTCTTCTATCAGGATGCTATGCTCCAGCCCTGCTCAGCCCGACCCCGGGCGCCGTTTACTGGAACAGAGGAGGTAGATATACATTTAACACCACCGCTGATCCTCTTGGCACGGGCCCCGTAGATGCTTTGTCATGACATAACATTACCAAAGAGCTCTCACCCCGGCAATAAGACATAAAGGCATAATAGACTTTGTCAACGTCTTCTCGCACTTAATCCCGAGCAGCGTTGGAAACCCCACTTTCCCTGCATGCAATCTGTAGGGCAGGACAGAGGGAGATGGCAGAGAGCAGGGCTCTCAAGTATGTTTTTATCTCCATCTACATTGTTCTGCTGTCATTGCACACAGGATAACTGCACCAGATGTCACGGGGAAGAATGGATTCTCCCAGGATGGCTTTGACCCTCTTATTTGTCCCTAGGGTACGGCACAGATGCTAGAGCCGGGGTTACATTTTCACCGTTTGATTCATGTTCTGGGTGTCTTCATGTACGAGTGTGTACGAGAGATGCAAACGAAAAGAAAGAAGAATGTTTGTGTGTCGGTTTCTTGTTTTGGATGATGCGGCCACAAGTATGTGAGACTAAAGGCTGCTTCAGACACTGAACCTCTACTTAAAACAGTGAAAATGTATCTCTCGGTATAACAGGGTGCCCTGGTGGCTCAATTGTTTGAGATGCATCCTGTGGTGCCATGGGTTGGTCCTTACAGTCCTCAGAGTAAACTATCCTACAAAGCAGACATACTAAGAAAAAAAGTTGTTTGCAGATCAAGAAGTTTGGTGCTTATTGTATGCCTTTAGTGAGCATCAGCCTGGTATTTAAACATGTTCTATCCTTTGGAAGGTTCGGGGAATATTGATAAGCGCCAGTATGTCCCCAGTCAGACAGTGGTGGGTCTGCTGGGAGGGAAGCCACTGAGGCATATGAAGAGAGCCTCTCCAGGGATGCGGCCAGTCTCTCTCTCTCTGGAGACAGAGCTCCCAGTAGGCACAAGGCTGATTACAACAGCAGCCAGAGCAGACAGCACTTTGCAGCTGCATCTGCACAGTTAAAGGCTATCTTTAAAGAAGCCCTCTTTGAGGATAGCACAGATGTGAAGAACTTCTTCAATCACATGGCATTTTCTGTCCAGGTCTGATCACGGCAAGGGTCCGTAAAGCAAGGATGACCACGATAAAACCCGCACTTTATTCAACTGCCATCAGCAGCCGTTGGAAAAAAAGAGAGGGAAAAGACCTTTATATTTCCCTAAAGCTTTTGATCTTCCTTTGGAGAGCTTATTCCTGCAATAATAAGAGACTTAGGCTACATAAAGATTCCAATCTCTGGTAAATACTATTCATTTCACATGCATTCACAAGGTCTTGTGATTTCATCACATTGTTTAAGTCATAAAGGAGGAACAGTGCAGGCTTTTAAAACCTGTGGGGTGTGCAATTTACACCTATTGTTCTCAGTTGTCTTTTTTTTTAACATTTGTATAATACGGCAAAGACACCTCACGGGTGTCGAGGGTTCAGCACAGAGGTCAAACCTTGTTCAAGCCTGCAAGCAAAATAAATGAAAATGATTGCTAACCACAAATATCCATGTGATGTAGCTGAATAAATGAATAGGCAATTGTTTTTTCGTTATTTTGTCAAGCCATAAGTGACAGAGACAGGACACCAAGGCCATAATATAACATGTAAAAACTCACCCGAATGGTAAAAAAAAACAAAAAAAAAACTATAAACTCTGCAAACAGGCACATCAATAAATGTTACTTAATATTCAGTGAATGTTTTTTTTAACTACATGAACTCCACTCCTCAATTAATACTGCATATAATCTAATACTGAATTGGTCATTATGATATAATGAGCAGTATGCTCACATTAACTCAGAATGTAATGTAAATGGTATTATTGTACAGAGACATGCACAAAATTTTTTTTTCTATATCTAAGTGTTTCCTCATAAAATTCACAATTACATATATGAACAATAAGTTAATTCAGATGATGTTATGGAAATTAATTGCATTTTGTAATATATATTATGGCTATTGATAAGTGTTCTGCAAAATTGAATCCAATCACCTTGACTAGCTATGTTTCTGAAATATGTTTTTAGCCTATGCTGCAGAAATTATATATCACCATATTTGTAAAGGTGATGAGATATCCTTTAACTTAATAAATGTTTTTTTAAATAGAATCATTCAAATAGGATATTTTTATATTTTATTAAATATGGCCAAATAACACAAAACAAGTTCATCCCCTGTAAGACTTCATGTGTTCATGTCGACCAACACATTTACTACTGCCGATGACTGTGTCAAATAAAATCTGATGTCAGGAATTTATGGAACTGCCATTGGCATTATGTGGTGATAGATACATCTTACGTTGCTTGAGCTACATGATGCAGATCTACAATAACTGACAAATCAACAAAATACATAAATATAAACAATATATGATATGAATATACAACTTTGAGTTAAACCAATAAATGTCTTGTAGGTGGCCTACAATAATAATACTATAATAACATAATTAAAAAAAGCAGATAGCACATTAAAGCCACTTACTGTCTCTAAGTTTCTTTTTAAAACCTTCGTGGTCACAGATATATTTCTACATATTCCATTCTCATTCAATCATCTCACACCTCACCTGGTGCAGGAGGAAAATAAACAGGAATGTTGGCAGAGCTCTCATCTTCGATGACTTCTCGACTTATTCAAAATGAGCGGTGCTTAAATCCTCTCTGGAAGATTTGGAGAGGGACAGACGCACATGCTGTTGAAGCATTGCTGTGATCACCTGCGAGAAAAGTGGAAACATTTACGATGTGAAATCACTTCAAGCCCCCTTTGTTAAATGTGGGAGGACTTCAAAGATTGTCCATTAGAATCGTATATTCAGAAGAAGATGTAAACTTTTCCTTACCGTTTTTATGGAATACCTCACTTAGTTGAAATCACCCTTGTTCAATCCACTCTCGGGAAAGAGTCCTAAAATCCTCACAAACGTGTCCTCTTCAGGATGTTGAGTGAATTCTCTCAGAGCAGCTGGGACACTTGTAGTTCTCTACAAACAAGGTGGAACGGCTACATGCATTGGCTCAGCTGAAACAACACTGCTCTAAATTGCATCAAGCCAACCCGAAATAATCTGAACACTATATTCCCCCTATACTTCCCGACCAATGGTATTCATGAAATGACGATGTGCGCATTCAAGTAGCAAAGTGAACCGGGATCCGAGTGACAGGACTGCAGTAAATCGACAGCAGTCCGCTCGCTGTGCGCTCTCTTCAGCTCTACTTGAATTCAGTGCGCAAAATCCTGCACTCCGCGTCTGGAGACTCCAAGGTCGGCGCGCATCCGTGCAGAGAGTCAGACCAAAGATCTACCGTTAGAAGTCTCACTCTCTCCATCCAGGAGACAAGTAAGAGGCTTGATGTTACTGAAATCAGGTTTTGTTCAGCGACACGTTCACGTTTTTAACCCTTTAAACGCTTAGACGTGTAATCTCGCTTCACTGGTAGTTTTTCACGGTGTTTTATTTGTTAGTGATGAGTGGACAGTCACATTGGAGTACAGAACGTAGCCATGGCTGCGGTGTACTTCTGGAGATGTTCTTGACTGTCTTCAGAATCCATACAAAACTTTTTTTTTTTCATTTATTATTAGTTTCAATGTACACAATAAGAATTTCCAACTTGCAAACACAATCATATCGACAGGGCTGTTTGAATGATGCAAGGAAAAAACATAATGGTGAGTGATCTTAATTCACTTGAGAACTGGCTGATGCAGCATTCCTGATCACACAGTGCAGGCAGCAAAAGGTCAAACGTTATGCTGATGGCGGTACAAAGGCAATACCATTTTTCTACTGCGGACAAGACTGGCATTTAGGGATCCATGTCACTTTGGCACCACCACGTGGCTACAGGCAAACACCTCACTTTACAAAGACGACTTTGCAGCAGCAGTTTGCAGTGTGCAGATAAAATGGTAAATCAGTTCATACTTAAACCTTCAGGTTACGTTCTGCAGTTTAAATGATCAGATTTATATATTCTGCTCTGAGCGTTTGCAAGACTAATCATCGTACCCTTTCTCAACATGTACGCTTTAATGGCTTTGTGGCAAAAAAAACGCCAGGGGTTGTAGATGTGTGTTAGAGGCAATGAGTCAATATCGGCCAAATATAAAGGTGAGACAATAAAACACAAGAAGATCAAAATGTTGCTGATTGCAGCACTGGGGCAGTATCAGTTCAGTCTAAAGGTCCTTACTGGGTTTTTTTTTCTGATCCCCACAATAGAGGGGATTTATTGCAGTGCCACCCTTTCTGTGGGAAAAGTTGTAGGGTACAATTAAAACATCACCAACCAATTTAAAATCTTTAGTTTGAATTGCAGGTTTCAGAATAAAGTTGTCCTGATACGCAATACATACAGAGTATTGTTGTTTTTACCATGTAGAGTAGGGGTATGTTTGCATACACCATAAAGGAGTTTGAGATGAAATATTCTTTGTAATGAGACAAAAACATGCATTTTGTAAAAGCAGGAGGAGAAAGAAAGCGAGGGAGTGCACAGTGCTTATTTGTTTGTTTTCTTCTACAAAGTAAATACCGCACCATCTGCAAACTACAAATACTACTACAATCTACTCAGTTGGCATGAATATGATATTTGGAAATCACTAGGTGAGTTAGGTGCACACAGTCTCATAAATGACATAATGGAATAATCACAACTGTCCTGAACTTTGACCACTGATACCAGACTCCCATTAATTTTCATGAACTGGATCACACCGCAGTAAAGATTGATATGATGCAGTGACTGGATATGCTTGAAACCAATTGTCCTCTGGGGACATAGGTAAAGATGAAAGTTGAAGTTTGGTTGTCTACACTTTGGCTGTTTTGGTTGTTGAAACCTTTACACAAATGTGTCAGAGTTAGGACTGGTCAACTAAGCTTTAAGTGATGAGAACATACAGTAGAGCTGGCTAGTTAGTAGCTAGCTATAGCTGGTGCAGAGTTTGGTGATTTAATGTTTCGTGGAATTAAATGACACAGGAAGATTTCCCCTGGATTGATGATGATTGAAACGGTAAACCAACAGAAAACATCCAGTTAGAGGCACTTTGATGGCTTTGGCACCACCATCTGGTTGAATAGTACAATCACTTAATAGTTTGCAGTAGCTTCAAAACTAAATCAGCGCGAGAGTTTCTCATGAAAGGCTCTTTCTTTTCTTTTTGTATGTCTTCAAAGCACTTTGGAAGTCAGATGTTTCTGTTGTTTGAACCTATTTATTAAAATTGTACTGTAAATGAAAATACATAAAATGCTCAACATATGAACGCAACCCATACAAATTGTGCAAGTAAAAAAGACAAAATCCCGAAAAGCAGTTTGTATTGATCTGAAATTAATTATGTTTTTTATTTAGTTGTGCTGCCAGATATAATTGACAGGCAGCAGCTTGGCTGCTAACTAATTAACAACGTCTTTTTTATTTTCCAAAGTGACACATTTCATCAGGTTGTCAGCATGTTCTCATACTTATATTTTACAACTGATTCTTAGGTTTTATGAGCATGTTAGAATTTGATTTGTATGAAGCTTTGATCCACTTTTATCACATCCTGTCTGAGCTATACATGATAGTAAGTCGTTTGAAGCTGAAAATGTTAATTACATGAGAACTGTCATGTCAGTGATGACATGACAAGTTGAAAAAGTGCATCTTTTAAAATACACACAGCCCATCTCAACACAATGGGTAGCAGGACAAAGGCCTTCTGATTAAATCAGGGCGACCAATCTGATATATCTATACTACCAGTGATAGAGGACTGCAGCCTCTGCTGTTGAGCTACTATGCTATCACTTTCACTACATGTAAGTCATAGGCTTTAAAGAGTGATGCCCAATGGTGGTATGATGGTATAATGATGCTCTGCCATGACACCAATACAACATGACAATGGAAATGAACCTGGACATATAAAAAGCCTTTTTCCAAGACTAGCAAACTGACCCCACACACAGTACTAAAGCATCAAGAACACTCCGCGGCACATCAGCTGCAGTGTCAGCAGAATAAAGTGCAGAATGGCTCAATCTTGGTCAAAATGATGAGGTCAAATTGCATATTGCTGTATTACAACATGTGTTATAAAGTTCCTGTCTGCGGTTGTCAGCATTGCAACATGACACTAGCATCTTTCATGTTGTATAGCAAACTACATATCAACCCAAATGCAGCCCTTTTTTTATGTCACAACTGTTACTCCTGGGGTGGGGGGGGAGACACAAAAAACTGGAGTCTAGCTATATTGGCCGCATGTGCCATTTGTGAAAATACTCTCTACAAAACATTTTGCCGTAATTGTATCTAATCAAAGTTTTGCATCCCAGACAAAATGAGGCATACATTCCACTTGTAAAACCAACATATTTCTTGTGGGTATGCGTGTATGCAAGACACGTGCACCGGGCTCCCAAGTAACGACAATGGAGTGCCGACTTTCAACCAGGTGACCAAAGTTTGAGACCAGTGTTCACGTCTCAGTGTGTTGTCGAGTTATTTTGAAGCTATGTTAGTGATGTTTGGGACGTGTTTTCAGTACTTGTGTTATGTTGTTTATGTATTTTACTTAGTTAACGTACTTATCTTAAGCCCAACCATGATTTTTGTTTCTAAACCTTACTAATTGGTTGTGGCGCTTAAACCTAAGCAAGTGTTTTTCTTGAAATTGACAACGTTAACCACGTGTTTACTGTGACCGTCCCAGTGCGTTAAAAAGTTACGCCAAGAGGTCAAAGTCAGTAGGTGACAGGTTGGGAGCATCAGAATGTGATGATTTGCAACTTATAATTATCAGACGACAGTCACTTAGCCAAAATTGTAAACTTAAATTCATGTTTATATGGAGCCAGCTGCAGGGAATTTACAGGTTCTGAATATAATCAAGGCCAGTCCCCTATCAGCTCTCATGTTGATCTTTAATTAAACCAGAGATGAAAACCGAAATGTCACAGATTCCATGTCTGTATAGAAGAAAGGTAGGTGCCAATACCTGAGAGACGGACGAGAATAAAGGTTCTACAGCTACCACAGACTCATTCACTTCACTCACACAATTTTGATTATGGAAGAGCTTAATTTTTCCTGCATTCAGAACGTCCATCTCCGTTGTGGTCTTGCTTTTTAATAAAAAACTGAGCACTGGGTCCAACAGCAGCCAGGGTGAGGCTTATGATTAATGAGCGTGCAAGTTCATGTAAGTTTTACAAGCCTCTGGAACCCTTTTGAAGTACTCATTTAGCAATATGATTAAAACTATCTCGCTTCTACCAGTTTGTACAGTCCAAGCACATCAGGCAAAAGTGTTGTAGTGATATACTTTCTCTGAACAGCCAGACTTGAAGGCGGGTGAAATAGTCATAGACTGTGCATTAAATGCATATTTTGTATTAGACTCTAAAACATTCATGTTTCACTTAAGCTTAAGGCTTAAGAGAGAAGTTACCACCTTGCCTATTTTTCACCTCCGCATTCCAATACGCTGCTTGAAGTGGACTTGCTTGTTGGATTGTTGGTTTCGGAGAGTCACAGAAATTGTTGGACACAACCCCACCGATTCTGTCTTCAAAAAGTTTTGTTGGGGAGGACTTTTAGACACTTGTCTTACAATTTCTTTCAGTTAAAGCAAACTCAAACTTTCAATTAAATCTACACCAAACAAGTTAAATCTTAACAGCTAAACAATAAGAAGGTTACATTTCTTATACCCTACTTCTGTTGGCAAACATCAAAATTGTCAGAAGCGGGATAGACACAGGCTGGCTACTCTGTCTATTTCTCTACTGCCACCGTCCATGTAGCTTATATCATTATTTTCCAAAAGGTGCATCAAGTGTTAGACTAGCTTTTCCAGATTTAACCATCCTGGAGAGCATTTTCAAAAAGCTACATTGTTAAGTATGAGTGTCAAAACAATGAAAATCAGAACTGGCTTTCACCCAAGAATTACATTGTCGCTTATGTGTCATCACCCCCCCTCCAAAGAGGAGGGTTTTGGTTTCCTATTACAACTGGCTTCGCACGCCATCTGTCTTTTAACTTTGGTTGAAGATATACATGTGCGTGTGAAGGGAGTATGTGAAAAAAAGAGTTGAATAGAGTTCATGGCACGCACGTCTATGTTTTCCAGGGAAAGGACAGAAGGAGCAGCCAAAGTAAACAGAGGACTTTGCACCTCTCAACAGGCAGTAAGACCTGCAAACTTGCACAGCCACCATGACTTGCAAGTCTTAATGAACGTTAAAGTCCACTGCTGGTGAAATTACAGAATAAAAAGAGAAATTGCAGTTAAGGTAAATAGAATGAAGGTAATCAATTTTACTACTGATATCCCAAAAGACGCTCAACTTATTTCTGTGAACATATTTCATTTTTGGGATAAATTGTTTCTAGAATGCTTAGACTGCACTACTTCACATGCTATAACAGCAAAACTCAATCACAACTTACAATATAAAAGTTAAAAGTTGCACTATGTCACTTGTAAATATGTTGAATGATGAACACACAAAGACATGACAGGAAGAACAGGAGGTGAAAAGAAAATAAGCAAAGTCCCACAAGAGAATGATTATCCGGAGTCAAACTCTGACCAGGCAAATACCACTGGGAATATCACTTCCTCTGTCTTCCTGTGGTTATATAAAAGTCCGCCTGCAAATGCAACTTCCTGTGGAACTTGAACACACACAGACACACACACATAAAGCTATACCTCTTAACAACAGCTGCCACTAGCTCTTACAACAAGCAGGCTTGCACAACAGAAAGGAGGCAATGAGCAGCGGGGAGTGGTTTCCTGCACTGGGGCTGGTGGCCTGGCTGTGCTGCCTCAGTCTGGGTCCCGTTCAAGGGGGGAAGGTGCTGGTTATGCCTGTGGATGGGAGTCACTGGCTTAGCATGAAGATACTGGTGAAGGAGCTTAGCCAAAGGGGCCATGAGGCTGTTGTGCTGGTGCCTGAAACCAGCCTGTTGATCCAAGGCTCAGAGAGCTACAAGACTGAGATCTACCAAGTGTCCTACACCAAAGCTGAACTGGCTGCAATATTGGACCAGCTGCAGGAGGGAGTTTTCCTCAAGCCACCAGAAATCACAGATATGTTTATCGACATAGAGCGTTTGATTAACTTTACATCGATGCAGGTGAAAGGCTGCGAGAGTTTGCTGAACAACCAGCCTCTAATGAGTCAACTGAAGGGAGGGGGCTTCGATCTTGTGCTTACAGACCCCTTCCTTCCCTGCGGCTCCATCCTGGCTCACATCTTTTCCATTCCAGCGGTTTATTTCCTGAGTGGACTTCCATGTGAGCTGGATACAAAGGCTAACCAGTGCCCCTCTCCTCCTTCCTACGTTCCTGTGCCTTTCACTGGTAATACAGACATCATGACCTTCCCACAGAGAGTCAAAAACATGATGATGTCCATTTTGGAGTCCTACTTGTGCAAAATAATGTATTACGACTTTGATGAACTGGTCAGCAGGTACCTCGGAGACAACCTGACCTACAAGGACATTATTAGTAATGGCGCGATCTGGCTTCTTAGATATGACTTTACTTTTCAATGGCCCAAACCTGTCTTGCCAAACATGGTTTTTATTGGAGGGATCAATTGTGGACAGAAAGCTCCTCTGCCAGCGGTGAGTATTCAAATAATGTATGACAGATCACATCTGGATTCACTTAAGGCAAATTGTATATGTGATCTGTGTTGAGTCGGGCAAAAGCAAAACCCTTAGACGGTTATGTAATGAAAATGACAGTGAAAACCAGAAAAAAAAACAAAAAACATAAGTTCGTACTACCAGGTGCTGAAAATATAATAAAGATTTGGGCTGTTTATTATAATTGCCCAAAAATTGGCTCACTACATTGTGAAAGAACGGGTTTGTCTGCTCTTATGGAAGATTCAGTGTGTGGAATGTGAGCAAGGGAAAGCTGATTTATAGATTATGGCTAAGAAAAGAAGTGAGGGGCCCTGTTATGTTAACAGGAATCAAATACTCAAGCAAAAACAAAGGGTCGGTTGAAATAAGCACAGTCAAGATTATGCTTCTAATATTATTTAATTGGTGCTGCATACAATGTTGAATGAGTTAATTCCTTTCAATATACTTTAAAGTAATACATCACAGCAGCTTTTGGTCACTAGATCTCACTTAACATGTTTAAAAATATATTTTTTGTGTCTTTTCTAACCCCCCCTGCAGGACTTGGAGGAGTTTGTGAATGGTTCAGGAGACGACGGCTTTATCGTCTTTACCCTGGGCTCTATGGTGTCCAACATGCCCAAGCCGAAGGCTAAACAGTTCATTGATGCCTTTCGGCAAATTCCTCAAAGGGTAACAACAACCATTACAGATGAAATCGCTTTACTGAGATTCAATCCAATGACCTGCATTAGTCAATGAATGAAAAGTGCTGCAGTGGTTGGCACCATCAAAACATGTATTATTTCTGTTTCAGGTTGTTTGGAGATACACCGGAGTCTTATCAGAAGATGTACCCAAGAACGTGAGACTTATGAAGTGGTTACCTCAGAATGATCTCCTAGGTGTGTTTACTTTTAACACAGACAGTGTTATGTATTAAAACAGGCCATCGTGTATGTAAACTAATCAATGTACGTTAAACATTACCTGCATTTTGGACTGGACCTAAAATTGTTTCTGTGCTCCTCAGCCCATCCCAAAGCCAAAGTCTTCATCACTCACGGAGGTACCCATGGTATCTATGAGAGTATCTGCAATGCTGTACCCATGTTGATGTTTCCACTGTTCGGGGACCAGGGGGACAACGTAAATCAGATGGTGTCCCGAGGTGTTGCAGAGAAACTCACAATGTATGATATGACCACTGAAACCCTATTGGCTGCACTTAATAGAATCATCCATGACAAAAGGTAAGACAAGTACATGTCAATTAAAGACAATAGTCACTCATTTTGTATATGTAAATCATGAAACTCACTATGAAAGAAAAATAATTCAGTGTAACTCAACAAAACACATCCGTGAGCTCTAAGAAATGTGTTAAGTGCATTTACTTCCTCATAAAAGCCAAAAGTAAATGCAGCATTGTTTTTCATCAACGTTTACTAGCTTTAAGTTTTCTTCTTCTTTGACGTTGCTAGCGCATTTCTGCGTACCTTGGCGCATTAACACAACCCATATTACAGTGTACAGTGTGAAACCATTGGCAGGACTTTGTATCACATCACATGTGCACGTGTGTCCTTCTGTGCATGCACCAGATAAACCAAACAGGGACCTGCTCACAGAAATAACAACTCCATACGGCCACTAGAGGTCTAAAACGCCACAGAAAAAAAAATTACTCAGATGAAATTTTGAAAACCCAATAACAGACGAAAATAGACAAATTTGACACTATATACTTTACACTGTGGTATGTAAAAGAATATGTTTTATTTTCATACTTTGTCTGTCAAGTCCCTGCACAGCCACGGTCCACCCACACAGGTGTTATCACATACTTGGCCTTAGACTTCTTATCTGGACTGTGTAGGCATGTACAGGGAGTGCTTCTCCCTCACTCCTCTGTTTGTTATATGCACTCTTAACCTGTGAAGTGTTCTTGTTAATGAAAAAACGTTATGTGTGTAGTACGCATTGTCTGTACTCTGTAGATTTAACAAATGTGCTCCTTCCTCATGACACATTTGCAAAGCCTATTTTTCAAAAATGTTATTACGAAGTTACATTTTTACACCCATGTTTGCTTTCTATGTTTGTTGATGCCTTGCATGAAACCATGCTTGTACATCCACACTCATGCTACAAACAAAACAAAGACAACAAATGTGCACCATGTGACCTGCAGGCATGTGTGCATACAGTATCTTTGTGCGCATGCACAAGATAATCAAAATGGGAGCCCACCCAAAAAAGTTGCTCCATAATGCTTCTAGTAGTTAAAAGGGTTACCAATTTGCTTCTTCTGTTGTTGTTAGAAGGTGTCCTATCTTTAGACTGACATAAAGGTTTTGCATCTTATTTTAAGTTTCAGTAGTGTTTTAGGAAATAGTTGTACTTTCGTCTGTGAGGATATATACGGTAGACCGTTTGATGAACAGACCTGGAGATCATCCCATTAACTCAAAATATTACTTTTCCCCAGTTACAAAGAGAAGATAGAGACCCTGTCTCAGATACACCTGGACCGTCCTGTTGAGCCTTTGGACCTGGCTGTCTTCTGGACCGAGTTCGTCATAAGACACAAAGGAGCTGCACATTTAAGGATAGCTGCACATGACTTACACTGGATTCAGTACCACAGCCTGGATGTCTTCGGCTTGTTTTTCATAATTCTGGTCACTGTTCTGTGGGTGACAGTCAAATGCTGCATGCTCTGCACCCGCATGTGTTTCAGAAAGGGGACGCCAAAGAGAAAGCGAGACTAACATTTGTTCTATAAGTTCTGTAATGAAATAAAAAGAGGTTGAAAAAGCATGGTGCAGGGTGTGTGTGTGTGTGTGTGTGTGTGTGTGTGTGTGTGTGTGTGTGGGCGGTGTAATTGTTTTGATGATTTTATCTGTAATACTTTTTTATAACAGGCTACACAAAAAAAATCTATTTTGGAAAAACTACACTTTAGACTATTGTGATTTTGGGAAATTTGAATAAAGTTGAGTTAAATAGACACTACTTTACTTTGGAGTTTCTCCACCAGTTGGACTGTCCAGCACTGTGGTTGTGGGGTAAATGGTTTTACAGGCTGCAGGAGTTAACTTTGGTTATTGAGTGGGTGGAATAATTTACTGACATATCGCTAACAACAGCAGCTAATAGCTTAATTCGTACATTGCTTTGCTGAATTAGCCTGCTAGCAAGCTAACAACGCGCAGAATATGGGGCTTGACAATTATTCACATAAAGAGGTTTGTTAAAACTACACTGGCTGGCCAAGTGTGCTTACGTATGTGACGTATGTGCATCATACGTCATCTAAAAGCCAATTATCTTACCGTATAAAAATTGTTTATTTCATTAACATGAATGTAAATGTCTTATCTCCACACTCACTCCACCTTTTTGACGCAGGTGTGGATGTATTGTAGCTTCTGCCTAGAGAAGCAAAAAGTAACTTTCAAAGTGAGCAGAATCTGCAGTCTGTGAGCCAGGGAGAAATTATGTGTCATCTTGTATTCTAACCGAGTTTTATTTCATTTACCTGTTCTCCATCAGAGAGTGGTGTTTGTTGTCCGAAACAAGAAGAATCTCCCCATTAAACCTACTTTCAGAATGCATTCAGAGGCAAAAATAAGTGTTTCCCGGAGATTGTCATCACACATCATGAAACAAAACTGTTTAAAGTCAGCTTTGATATTCATGGCTCTATTGGAGCAAAATATGTAAGATAAAGATACCATACATAAATTGTGAAATTTGGCCTGAGGGTGTCATTTTAGGTGAATCTCCTTTTGCTGGAAAATATAATAAAATCTGTGACTTCTACTTGTTACACGGTACAGGTACACCAGACACTTCACTATTGCCACTTTCAATTTTAACATCTTAATTCTTTATTATTTTTGCTAAAATATCTAAGCACTAAAAATAGGCAACCCAAATGGTTGCTGAAGGTCTGTGCATGAAGTACAATTAATTTGGCATTGTTCATGATGCATAATGAACAATGTCAGTTTAGGGGTATTGCCTAATATTATTTTACTTGTGTTAATGCAAATATATTCTGCTACGTGAACAGAGAATCTTGCCTGAAAATAAATCAATTTATCATGAGAGCTAAATTGAATGAACAATCAAATTTATTAATAATGAACATACTATATAAATGTTATTAGGTCATATTTCTGAAACTTTCCCTCAACTGATCGTGAAGATATTCACCAATGGGCTCAAACACTGAGATTATCTGTATGTAATTATTCATTTTATTATCAATTTATTTATTTCATTAAATAAAGGCTTCTCAAACTATTTGGGTGAATGTTTCAGGCTATATTGTTGAGACTTGTGATGAGTCTGACTGATTTTTGACTTTATTGCTGGCTCTGTTGTCATGACAAGCAATCCCATGTAAAATCCTTCAAGTGTATTTACTGTTTGCACTTTTAACTACTCTACATAAAATAAAATACATGAATAAATGAAAATATTTTTGCAGGATAATCCGCTGGCCTCTATAAAATAAACGATACTGACATATTAAGTGTCATTTACGTGACATAAAAAGCTGAGTTTGTAGCTGTTGAAATGAAGAACGACTACCTGATGTCCTCCATGGTTCAATTGCTGGTCTGACATCAGATTAATACTGGAAACATCAAAGCCTGTTTCAGCTCCACCTATTCAAACGACATGCGAGAGTACCTTGTATGTGCACTTCTGTGGGGTAAACAAAAAGGTGAGGATTGCCATCGGCCCTGTTCAACTACTAGACAACCATCTGTTCCAGTATCACGTTAGCATTGGTCCATTCAGGCCAGAATTTAGATAACCTTAAAAAAAAGTGCACAATCCAGAAATAGTTGCTCATCTCTTCATTGTAGGGTTAGGGCACAATGTCCTCAGCTGCAATCTGTGTCATGCTGCTGTGCCGTGCCACATGTATTGTTAATGTCACCTCCATCTTTAAGGTATTGCGTATTGCTCTGCTTGACTGCATGTAAGGGTGAGGGTGAAACAAACCACCCTGATGGTGCAAACACATCAGAAATACTCGCATTAAATGACTGTTCCTGAAAAGACAATGAAGCAGCACCACAATGGAAACTTTGAATGACCTAAAATGTTTTCTACATGCTGCTGACTATAATTCAAAAAACGTTTTTTTAAAAGTCAGGTGAGATGCTGGTAGACAAAAGTTGTTCTCCAGAAGACTTAGCGATAAGCAATAACAATGGCAAATCTCTTCAACTTCACAATAAAAGTGTATTCACTGACCTGCCATCGTACCTGATAGTATCGCTTTACACAGAATACTGGGAGTTGTGATGGTTGTGATAGGAAGGGAATGCCATTCCTCATAAGCAATAACATGTTACAGTGCCAGAAGGAAGGTACGTGTGCTATATGAGCACTGGGCCTCTGATTTTCTCTCATGTGTATTTTCTGCAGACAAAATGCCTACAGCTCCATCCAGTGGTCAGTAGACAATAAATCATACCAACCAACATTTTGGTTTCATGTGTTTAATAATCCTCAAGTCATGATAACTTATCAAAAAGGCACGTGTGAAGGGTTAATCAGACATTTATCAACATCCCCAGAACAAGAGTGTGACCAAGTATACCACAACATTCTCTGGTATTTTCTGCAGTAAAAACAAAAATAAATTGAGGACTAATATTAGCTGCTTAAATGGACTTCTAATGTACCCCCAGATATCACATGCAGGTTCAGAAATCCACAAAGTATCTGAGGACAACGTAGTCCTGCGAAAACACCTCCAGCAGACAAGTGCTTGGCTTATCAGGATCAGTAAAGTGCTCCAAAACATTATTATTATTGTTTATAGCCTCTCTTAACACGGAATTTAAAATCAGTGAGCTTTACTCACACATTTTGACATGTATGTCTGTTTTTAAAACATGATTAAAATTAATTTTGGCCGAGAAAATACATAAGCGATAGAAATATAGATCATTATGTCTGTGTGAAGTTCAGTGTGTGAGGTGTGACTACCTTTGTGCACATTGTGGTTTACTGTAGCCTTAATACACAGTTTCCACTCGGCCATTTAGCATCTACCTTAACTCTCTTCCTTTAGAGGAAATGTAGCCTATGATGAAATAAGAAGGGAGCACATTTGTGATAGCGCACAGTAAATATGGACCTTTCAGATTTTTGGGGCAGGAAATATAGACGGTACCAGCACACAGGACCTAAACTCCTGGTCATAACTTTGTTTATTAAAACTTTCTATGTCTTTTTTTTTGTTATTCATTATTCTTTTGTCAAGGCACAAGGACACATACAGAGTTGAATTCAGTAAAGCGCTTCACATTTAAATTGTTGATGAATTAACAACAATGTATGAGCGACAAGTTGGCAGTTTTATCTAGTTTTATTAAGTGGTCTCATGCTGCAGTCAAAAGAAAAAAAGGTGTGATCTCATTTCTTCTGTGCAACAGTGACACCTGCCCACGTTTCCGTAGTGGGAGTTAGAACATTGACTACAAATGATGGCAAGGGGAGCACTTCAGCCACACTGTTCATCTTCTACTTCTGCACAACAACCATGATGCACATGTACTGCATTATCATTGTCTTGCAGCTGCTCTCCCTCACGGGTAAGATGAGACTAAATTTCTTTATTGCCGGTGGAGACATGACTATATAATAACAGCCGTTTTTAGGGATCATAGATGATCTTTAAGAAGCCTTTCTATTGTTTGTAAAGTTAAAACAAAGTCTTTAATTTAGCTTCTTTCTTTGTGTAATAATAAAAAACAATGATTTGTTTGTTTGTGTTTTGTAATCTGTGTATTAATTTACCTTCTCTCTCCATGTAAGGGGCCTCTGAGAGTGGCATAGTGGGTGGGAAGGTCGCAAAGCCTCATTCCAGGCCCTACATGGCATCACTCCAGTTTGAGGGCCAACATTCATGCGGTGGAATGCTCATTCGGGAGGACTTTGTTTTAACGGCAGCACACTGCAAACAGTGAGTTTCATATGAAAAAAATGTCACAATCAATTAACAAGTTCATGGGTACTAATTATTAGCATTTAAAGTGTTTTATTCCCATCGCTGCATACTTGTTATTTACAAAGATATGTTGGTTATTACTTTTAATGGTTTTTATTTGAAAAAGTTTAATGTTGTATGAATGCATCATTGTTAAGTATAACTAAATATTTTGACATTAATTGTGCACTTGTTTGTCAGACCTCGCATAATGACGGTGGTACTTGGAGCACATGACATAAGCAAGAAAGAGAAAAGTCAGCAATGGATCAAAGTGGCCGAGTACCATAAACATCCGAAATTCACTGGACAATACGATAATGATATCATGTTGCTTAAGGTAAACTAAAACTGTAAAAGATCATATCAAAACTTGTGTGTGTAAAAGAAAGCCTCTACAATGTATTTTGTGCACTGTAGTTGACCTCATCATCTCAGTTTCATTTTTTTGCCACGTCTTGTACGGCGTTTATGCTGCACATGGGGGTTTCACACATTTGCACTGAAGGATGTGGGTGGTGAACTGCTCAACATGCTTCATGACATGAACACACATCAGAATGTCTGACAGATGGATAAATGGTTTTCATGAAATGTTCTCTTTCACAGCTAAAAAACAATGCCAGTCTGACGAGGTATGTGAAGGCCATCGGACTGCCTAAGAAAGACGGGAAAATCCCAGCCAACATCAACTGCGCCGTTGCCGGCTGGGGCAGAACCGGTGCCAATGAGCCGTCCTCAAATGTACTGAGGGAGGCCAAGGAGAAAATACAATTCAGCTCTGAGTGCAAAAGTATATGGCAACAATTCTTCAATTCTGAGCAAATGATCTGCACCAAATTGGACAAAAAGATGGGAGGGGTTTGCCAGGTAATCTAACAGTATTTAAAGCAGGGCAGCAAATAAGTAACCGACCATTATACACATCAAAATACATCAATAATGCTGAAAACATGGAGAAAAATGTTTTATTTTATTAATCAAAAAGAAGTGCAATCGTTTTTTTCAATCAACTCTGTCTGTTGTCTTTTTCTTAGGGGGATTCCGGGGGACCACTTATCTGCAACAGTAAGCCTCAGGGTATAACGGCTTTTACCCTGAAAGATGATTGCAATAATCCCAAATATCCCCACGTCTTCACTAAAGTCAATTTCTTTCTCCCGTGGATTAAGAAAGTGATGAAGTGATTGGGGAATGTTGCATGAGCCACGGCTCTGAGGCCACGGTTATTGTCCTTTCCTCACTTGCTTATTGAACAACATGGCAAACATTTAGTGAATCAATGGTCTTGGTTTTGAAAAAGAATTCATGAAGCAAATGTTTTGCATGTGAAAAAAATGACAAATGACAAATGAATTGGAATTAAAAACTTGGTGATTTAACACAAATTTTCACTGTTCATATATATAGCATGTGCCTCTTACCTTTTAAAATAAATCATCTTACTATAAAGCTTGTTTCTTCATTTTTGTGCTTAGCTCCCTTTTGCAAAGTTGTCAACTATGTACATATGTATCTTCATCATTCTATTAGTTACTCATTATATTTAATCTAATCAAATTATTATAATTCATTAACAAACATCCCAACAGATGACAAAGGTGAGATTAGCGGGGGTGGAGGGAAGTACATCAGTGTGATGGTTTACTTGTGATGTTAGAGCCCAGAGGCATTGCCTCCAAACCACACCACAGCTATTGTCAGTCATAGTGCAAACTTTTGAAGTTGAACCGTTTTCTGTCTGTGAAACCCGCCATCTGCAGAGAAAGTGAAAGAGACGTGCGGTTTTAAAAAGGAACAGTCACAAACTGAATTCCTATCACCGACACAGAAATAAAGACTAGAAATGTAAAACTCACCTGAGTCGGGTCTCTTGTGAAATATCTCTTCTCTATTACCTGTTAAGGAGATAGAGATTGAGAGGCTGAGAGGCTTTTTAAATACAAAACTCACATATGCACATTGAAACAGGCAACTTTGCACTAAAAAGACTAATGTTAGAAGTTACCCACTGGGTACAAAACAAGAATAAAGGAAATGACATCATTTTCTTACTGCTGTCTGTCAAGTATCTTTACATCATACATAATGCCACACAATTAGGATTACTGTTTAAGTATGTTAATCTACTAAAGAAATAATACCCTTTAGAGTAACTATGCCTACTTGACAAAGTCAAAGTTGTTTGAAATGCTGTAATATTCATGTTGAAATTCAATTTACCAACAAAAAGGCATTGTATACATATACACATATATACCCAGAACTGTGGGTTCCTCACCTTGTCAAAGAACCTGCTAAGCTTCACTGCATTGGATGTGCCTGCAGCGAGGTATCTCGGGTTGGTGCAGTCCTGAGAAAACAAAACAGCACTTCAGCCACAAACCTGAGAGAAATTGAGTCTTTTCTTTCTCAGGGGAAATCTTAAAACTGCGTGTGTACAGTGCGTTTGTGATTGTAGCTTCTTTCAAATTGGTCTGATGCCGTATGTTTTTCTTTACATAAAAAATAAATAAATAAACAATCCTGATAAAGATTGAATGAGTGAATAATGTCCGACTCAGCTCTATTATCCAGCAGTGCTGCCACTGTGGTGAGAACGAGAAGCAGCTTTGTGCTCTCGTTTTGTGTATCAGACGCCAAAATACCACCGAAGCATTGCAGCTTTATTTATAATGGTCTTGTTATAGTCAAACAATGGTTTTGTGGAACATTTCTGTAACAGAGACCAATGTTTGAATGATATTGTAACACATAGATGAAGCCAGTAATGCCACAGATTACATTTAAAATGGGCTTAAGATCAGAGCCTGTAGGAATTAAAAAGATGACCTACGAGATTGATCTCCTCTGCATTGAAGTCTTCAGACAGGAAGGCCGTCCGTGTGAGAACTTCATTGCGTTTGGTCTCTGCGATCTGGTCAAACTTGGTGCCAATCAGCAGCAAAGGCACCGAGTTCTCAGCAAACTGCTCTCTGTCGTAGTCACTGCAGGGAGGAAACAACGTGACCTCAGGATCCAACATTTAAACTCACAATGTAATATATATATATATATAACACCCCATGAAATCAAACAATACCATCACACGTCTACTCACCCATTTGAGACGATAACTCCTGTTGGAGAAGAATCCTTGTTTAAAGCTTCTAGTGACCAGCGGTAGAGATTCTGAGACGATTTCTTATTTGTTAAATCGTGTACCAACATAATTCCTGGGAAAAGAGAAGAAAAGACAATGACACAATTAAATATCAGCAGCCTTAACGATTCCAGATTTCCTTAAATAATCATATAAAATCGTCTTTACCATTAACTGAATTGTAAAAGACAGCTCTGGTGCTTTTGATACTGCTGGCACTGCCAAGAGATCCTCCGACATCCCAGAGTTCAATGTAGTAGGTTTTCTCTTCCGGGGTTCCCTCCTTATAGTCCTGGACCTGGAGTTGAATAGTTATTTTAAACCTTTGATTATTTTGTCCTCTGAGCATCTGTAACATGTGACTGCTCTGCTAATTTCTATCTGACATGAGTGTTTTGAATCATCGGTGGAGGAAAGTAACGAAATGCATTTACTCAAATACTGTAGTTAAATACAATGTTCAGGTACTTGTACTAAGTATTTTTTGCTACTTCATTCTTCTACTCCACAACAATTCAGAAGCAAATATTGTACGTCAGAAAAAAATACACATTTTAGACCTTATCTCAATCAAGCTTTGTAAATCAGGTGTTCAACCTGCTTACCCGAACATCCACAGAGCAACCAACAGTCCATGATGGATTTCCTAACACCTGATTCTGGCACAGCAGATGGACCAAGGAAGACTTGCCCACCCCTGCAAAAGATAATGTGGGTGAATGGATCAGTATAAACTCATGCAATGACGTTTTTTTCCCTGTAGATCATATTCTTTGGCTTTCAGTCTTGATGTAATAGTTACTACTGCTGATTGCAAGACAGGCGTGGTTTGCTTGTATATGACACACGCCTCCATTGTAAAAACAGTTCAGTGTAACATATCCTCAGTTCCTATCAAAGCACGATCAGTAAATATCTTTAACGAGCTGTTGGATGCATTTGCCGGTCCACTTTTATTCCTAATTCAACAGTAGACTCGACCATGAAGCTGCGTATGCAGGTTTACAGAGTAACTACTACACTACTACATAATTTTAAAGATGACAAGGGTTGTAACCCGGTTGATATTTACCCAGAACAAACGTATATATATTTACAAATATGCATTCAAGTTCACGTTAGAGTCTGAATGGTATGAAACTTACCGGAATCTCCTAAGACTAGTACTTTTACCCTGTCAAGAGAAGCCATTCTTGTTTTTGTGACAGCGGCGTCCCGGAAGACAATAGTGGAAACTCCGCCCACAAATATTATTTGTCTAATCTGATTGGTTCCCAAGAAAATAAGGAAGACGCAGAGCCATTCGTCAAAATGTATGTCGATCAACAATCCTTTGCTCCTATTGGCTATTGAGTGCAACTGGTACGCCTTTGTTATGGTTCTGGTATTATTTCCGGGGTTGACTTCTCAAGTAAATCATGAAGCATGCTAGCTAACCTGAAGCGGTTTAAACATTCAGAAGTACAAATGTTTCAAGTGAGCTTAAGCTGTGTTTGTTAGAGACAAAGTCGGCGATGACCTAAGGAAGCGGTGGCTTTGTCGTATTGGTAGAACACACCGTTAAAGAGTAAGTTATCGGCCAGGGTTGGTGTTAACTAGCTACATGTTGGCTGCAACGTTGAGTTTAGCGAAAGTTAGCATACGGCATCATCTGCGAGCTAGTCCGCTAAATGAAAAGATAGCCGTAAAGTGCTTAAACGTTAACAGCTAAATATAATACCCTTACTATTAGTTATGGTCGCTGCTAACTTGCTGCATTAGTCATGGTGATATATCTTTGTTTGAGTTGTCTAATGGTAAGATAATGCGGATTTAGGCTCAATTCTTCCACTTTCTGATGTCCTTTAATGTTTCTCGTCCCTTCAGAATCGCTCAACAGTTCTCATCTCTCTCTCTCTCTCTCTCTCTCTCTCCCCCCCCACAGCACAAGATGATAGAACCAGAGGTACTGACTGAGGTTCCTGCAGCACTGAAGCGGCTAGCCAAGCAGGTCGTACGGGGTTTCTATGGAGTGGAACACGCCTTGGCCCTGGATGTGCTCATTCGCAACCCGTGTGTACGAGAGGAGGACATGCTGGAGCTGCTCAAGTTTGATCGTAAACAACTGCGATCAGTACTCAACACCCTGAAGGCAGACAAGTTTGTGAAGTGTCGCATGAGAGTGGAAACGGCCCCCGATGGCAAGACAACAAGGCACAACTACTACTTCATCAACTACAGGTGGTTATTATCTGTTTTGTTTATAGAGTAAACATTGTCTTTTAACGCCTGGGGAGAGTTGTGTGTGAGACTGTGTGCTTTTCTTTTATCAGCCCATGCCAACATCTTGAATACTACAAAGCTTTACCGACCTGCTTCTTTTTTTTTTTAGGGTCTTGGTCAACGTGGTGAAGTATAAATTGGATCATATGCGACGGCGCATCGAGACGGATGAGCGAGACTCCACCAACCGAGCCTCCTTCCGGTGCCCCTGCTGCTTCTCCACCTTCACGGATCTCGAGGCCAATCAGCTGTTTGAACCAATGACAGGTAAACAGTCAAATTATCTACCACAGTGATTTTCAACCACACCAGTGCACACCAGGACTAAGTAATCCAATACTCTTCCATGCCAGTGGGTGGCAGCAGGTAGAGCAATAATGACCGTGTTAATTTAAGACGGTTGCGGTGACGAACAGCGATGGAGAAATATTTGAAAAGGAAAAATGCAGACTCTGAACTGGGCCCCGGACAACATTCTAACGGGGATGAAAAGCCTTGTGAGATGAGCTTTTCAAGCATGACTGCTATAAAAAAAACTAAAAACAGAGAGCGACTGAGAGCTGTTGAGGAAGAGCTTTGTGTTGCCTTTCTTCAGTTTCTGCCAGGATATCAGCTTTGTGTTCATCTAAACATTGAGGGACTTGTCATTAAATTGTCAGCATATATGCTGTATTATGCTACAATGTGTCATTTTGTGGCAAAAATGTACCGCGGCTCAAAAAAGGTTGAAAAACGCTGATCCTTCAGGCTATTAGTTGTTGGTTTTTTTGTGACCAACGCCGTTCAATTTCAGTGCTGCCTGATAATGAGCCCGTGTCTGTAGAAGACATTTACTGCTCTCTCATGACCACACTACCACTGTGCAGTTGTATGTGCTTCGAAAGAAAAATCAATCGTAGACGATTAAAAGAACACTGAGATGTGCTCTCAAAGACCCGTCGACACCAACATCACTTGCACAAGACGAGGTTTATGACAGGGGAGGAGAATGAGCATCTAAAGCCATCTGTGTTCCTGGGGATGAAGCCCATTGCAGGTTGTGGCTTCTTGCTACCAGCAAAAATAAAAGATTTAGAAAAAGGAAGAGTATTATAATAAAGAAGAACATGAGATTCAGTGTAGCTATGTCACCCGATCAGTACGTGATAAGTAATCTAGTCCATATATTTGCTAGTGTGGCTATTTACCCCAAATTAAACTGAGGAATTGAATACCTGGCAAATCTTTTGATTAGATGAGTTTTGGTTACATTTAAATGTTTTCTAGGTTAGGTTGTCTTCGGTAAAATTAAATGTTTCCAAATTGTCTTTTAAGCATATTTGAAATGACTTCCTATCACAGCAAAAGGCCTGAAGCACAATCGTACTTTGATTCTCGCCCTGCCTCAATACGGGCTGGCAGCAGTCCAGAACCGTGCTACTAAGTGGACATCACATCACTCACTTATCACCATTATGCTGTGTTTGACGAGTGAGTAAGAGAAGCAACCAGCAAGTCATCTTAGGCAGAGTGTGGGTGTGGACATGCAGAATTCAAAGGAAAGATGAAGCTGAATAACCATTAACAGTAGACGTAGACTCACACATGCTTCTGAATTCATAAGTCGATTGACATAACTAAGACTTGACCAACTTACTTAAGTCGCCAGTGCTTTCTCTGTTGAATTTGAATTTAAGTTATCCAGTTTCCTCTTGATTCAAATAACACATCTCCTGATTATGTCAGAGGGTCAGGTTGTAAGACTGGTTATTTTAGAATAAAAACAGAAGCATGTGGGCATATTTGCATTTTCAGGGATGAGTTGTAAACACTTTAGCCCCAAAATGCAACACAAAACTAGTTTAAGGAAATAAATTGCCCAATAACGCCACACTGGATGATACATGCATAGCTTCTCATTCCCAGCTTCATGCTACTGTTTTGGAGCCGTCAGCATCTTCCCGGCGTCTTGCCAAATTCCTTTGCACTTGTCTCTTGTTTCAACATATCTCAACTGGTATCAAATGTGGCTGCGGAGGCAGTAACCCTGCACCCTGACAGAGGCTGACAAAAAGATTACCTGGAGCTCACACAGTGGTAGTCTGAGAGACCGGTGGCTTCTTCTTTACTAATTCCACCTGACATGTAGACTCACTCACTCACTGACTCACATATTCATTTCCCATTTATTGAAACTGAAATCAGCCAGAGAAGCAGATGGCCGAACATGGCCTTCTCTTACTGGTGGAAAGGAGGTCCCGAAGAGAAAGATCATTAACAGCAAGGCATTGTTGTTTTGGGTAGAAGTACACCTATTACCTGAATGTTTAATGGAAAGTGGAAGTGAGGTATCGCAGGATTGCTTCATCAATCATAATAGTGGACGTGCAGTAGTCCGCATAAAACCCTCAAATCACAGCAAATAGAGTGGTGGTATATTGTTGCACACCTTTAACCTCAATAACAGACATATACAGTACATCTAAAGATCAAAGGGCAACCACTCAGTGAGGAAGTGCTCATGATTATCCGTTTATCTGTATCTAGAGTCATGCAAGTGTGTTCATTTTTACTGAAGGAAACCGCATCACATTCCCAACTATGCTAAATTTCTGCAAGTAGTTTTTTTTTGCAAAGTTGGTTTACAGCCTGCGGCTTTGGGCTGAAATGAAAAGCAGTGCCCTACAGGCATACCCCAAGGTTGTGGGTAACGCAGTGTGTGCTTCGGTCAGGTAAGTAACCAGAACATCCCCCGTTGTTGTAAACGTATATCTGTCTTCACCCATAGGTACATTTCGCTGCACCTTCTGCCAGACGGAGGTAGAGGAGGACGCGTCTATCTGTACTGATGGCAGGACGATGGTGGCACGCTTCAATGAGCAGATCGAACCCATCTATGCGCTGCTGCGCGAGACCGAAGATGTTAACTTGTCTCAGGATCTGCTGGAGCCGGAGCCCGCTGAGATCCCTGCCCTCAAACAGAGGTCAGCGTCTCATAAACCTCACGCTCTGCTTACTAAATACTTATTCTCCTCAGTCAGCCAGTCTTCACGAGTCAGCATTTTCACTGACAACAAATGGGATGTTCACCTCTGTCAACTGCATTAATGGCCTCACTGATATTGGTTCAACTTAATAACTGTTTGTGCAATGAGGGAATTCAATTCTATTACACAGGAATGTAACATATTTAGCTTGAGAACACATGTGCACACTCAATGTTTCATGTTTAAACATGATAGTTTGTCAGTTTAAAGGATGTTTACTGAATCTTTCCTCTAGCCGTGAACGTGCTGCTGCAGCAGCCGGAGCGCACTTGGGCCCACACCGTGAAGCCTGGTCGAACAAAAGCTCGTCTTACGCTGACATGTACACCCAGAATGTGGTTATCAGCATGGAGGAGCAGGAAGACCAGCTGAAGAAGGCCAAGGAAGGCAAGGCACCGAAGGAGAGGCCCGTCTGGTTGACCCAGAGCACCGTGCAGGGTGCTTACAGCGAGCCCGACATCATCAAGAACAGTAAGTGAGAGGTTCTTACGAAAACACCCGTCAAGCACTAACCAGTCAATATGTAGATTTCACACTAATCTGATGGCAGAAGGCTTTTGCTTGTAGATAAATCACTTTCAATTTTGTGAGTTGAAGTATGAAGAATTGCTCTCCTGAATGCTGTTTTCACACGTCGTCATCTATAAATTCTATTGCCTGCTGAATGCACTGGGTTTTCCAGTAGTAAGATGATCGGATGGACAAAGACGAGCCTAATCAAGACCCACACCTTTCACTGCTCTTCTGTGACCTTAAGTTCCAATCCCTGTTCTGTTTGCAGTCAAAACGGGGCGACTACAGGTCAACCCAGGTTATCTCCCTCGGTCAGACGCTTCACCGTGCTATCTTATTCTGACATTGTTTCTCCACCCAAGGGCATGCAGCAATCAGGCCTGGCCAGACTCCCATTGAACCGTAATTGCTTAATTGAGATAATCAGGGGCCTGATTAGTGCATGGCTGAGCAAGAATTTCTCATTAATAAAATGTATTCTGTGGAAATTGCAAAAATTATGCCTTCTGAATATCCTGTGTGGTCTCTGTGGATCTGTCTGTAATGATGATGATGGAAACAGACATGACATCCGGAGATGACGTGGTGTACGTAAAGTACGCTAAAGCTGCTATAAGGACTAGCTTGATGAGGCTGGAGCCGAGACAGGCCGACCGTGTCTTGTTGTCTGGTTCCAGGCACAAATTTAGAAGTACTTAGCAATGTTTCGTAATGTTCTAAAAGTTCCAGAAGAATTAACAAGAACGAGTGATTTCAGAAGTGAATATATTTCTAATTTGAATGAGCAATTGTTTTTGTTTTCCCAGGTGGAGACGTTGCACCCGTAGCCCAGGACGGAGCAGCAGGTCACGGAATAGGTCAGGCAGATGAAAATGAGGAAGTGATGCGTGCCCTGCTCATCCACGAGAAGAGAGGTGCGGCAGCAACAGGTGGAGGCGGAGCAAGCGCTGCTACCAAGGGGTCCTCCTCCTCCAAAGCCAAAGCCAAAGCCAACGCCAGCGACTCGGAGAGCGACACCAGCGAATCGGAGGACGACTCTCCCGCAGTTCCCCCCGCCGCCGCAGCTGCTCAGCATCAGGTCGAGGAGGAAGAGGACGACGACGAGTTTGAGGAGGTGGGGGATGAGCCAATGGTGATGGTCGGAGGCAGGCAGTTCTCCTACCGAGAGGTCGGCCAGAGGCCGGAGCTAGTGGAGCAAATGTCTGCGCAGGAGAAGGAGGCCTACATTGAAATGGGACAAAACCTCTTCCAGGACATGTACTTCTGAACACACACTTGTGTATATACACACACGTACATTCACACACTCATTATCAACAGTTTGATGGATTGGCTATGAGTTCCCCAAAGTTTACTTCTGCTGTCTCTCACTGTCAGTGACGTCTGAGAGTTTGTGGACACAACTTCTCAAGAACAAAACAAGATGCCGCTCAAGAAGTATTTACAGTCGGCTTTATGCTCTTGCGTTATAAGAACCAATGACATGCTCTGACTGTGTTGCCCAGGTGATCACGCCTTTAGTATTCTGTCCTCCAGTATTTTTTTTTTATTCTCGGTCATCAGCCCAGAAGGGAGCTGGCCAGCAGTTTGTGCACCGAGTGCCAATTTGTTTTTGTTTTTGTTAATCTGAAATGAAAATAAAACGGACTAACAGGCTGTCTACTCCAGTTATGTTTTAAACGTGTTGCCCAGTCATGCTTCTCTCATGCATCTGACTGGCCAGATGTGCTTCAAATGTAATCAATGCAGCTGTCAGTATAACACTGAAGGATTGAAGCTGCTGCTGTGCTGCTTTCACGGGTAGAAAAGGCGCTGGGTTTAGTATTTTCTGTTTTTCAGATCAGACCGGATGTATAAGCTACAAGAGGATAGGGATGAACTGTAGAGGTTTACAGTAAAACATTTGTTACTCTGAACAATGTGTAATCATAAAACTACTGCAGTACAGCAATATGCATGGACAGGCATACATAGACACAAGCAGTTCAGAATGTAAAAGTAAGGGGGCACTGTGACATCTGTCTTCTCACATAGTGAACAAGACAGACTCTATTTAGTGTTTGGAATTATACTAGCACTCAACTATACCCCAAAGCTGTTTACAGGAGGGCCTCAATGTTCCTCACCATGCTCATGTGTCTGGATATGACTCCATGCTGCAACATGGACCGATGTTAGATCTGATCTGTTATCAGCCGTTTGCTACGAAGCAAGCATGAGCGTTCCTATCAAACCATCTTAGCAGCAAAAGATATGAGATGTAAACCATGATGAAACGAGGGGAGTGCATCATTTTGAATTCAGTTTTTTTTTTTATTCTTGATTATATTATCCTCATGATAATACATTTTACATTTCTCCCTCTGACGCACACGTTAGACGCATAGTTAAACTAATGTGATGCTCTCATTGCAGTCAACTAATGTGCTTATGTTCCCTACTGTAAAAAATAGTTTTCACTATTTGTGTGTTACAAATCCTTTCTTATACAGCAGCAGTTAGGGAAAGTAATGTTTCACTTATCATAAAATAAGCTGTGCAGGAATATTACTGCCATCACTGATACTCAGATGGTGGTGCTACAGGGTTTGATTTACCATTAAAAAATGAGCTGCTCAACCTGATAACAGATTTCATATAGTAAAAATAAAGAAATTGTGAGTTTAAAAAATTGCATCTAATGCGTATCCAAATCTAGTCAGACTCGTCAGCGTGTTATTCTGTAATCAAGGATGGTGCAGCTATTATAGAGGCCGATGGCATAATCGAGATGATAGACGTTCATATGTGGAAGCTTGATTTCAGGAGAAATTGAAGGAAAGAATCCAGGGCAAGATTGACAGGCTCTGGGGAAAAATAACATGCAATAACATTCCACTCCGTTGTGGTATCCTCCCAGCGAGACCATTCCTGTCTTGTCTGGTCACATCCGGATGACAGTTATTCACTGAGGCAGTCCCTACGGGGCAAACACACTCTTAGTTTTCCTCTAGATGTGCTCCAGCTGGATTTAGGCTATTTTGTTATGTGGCTTTCCAAATACGGACTGCCTTGATGTAACCTCAGTAACCCACGGCACTGGGTCACCTTCTCATAATGGGGGGGCAATTTCCCCTCAAATCTAGAGTCCGAAAACAGACGTGAACCTGGCATTTACAGAAAACCGGCCTTTTCAAATACAATGTTAAATGTTACACCTGTGATGTCATGGGGCCTGCTGAAGCAACATCACCCCTCTCTCTTCTTTTTGAGCAATATATATTAAAAAAAATATCCAATTATTGGCTGTAATCATTTCACATGAATCATCACAACTCTGGTGTGTGATTTGATTGTGCTCTAGTCTCACCTTTACACCCTTTACACTCGCATAATGTAAGCTGGATTTTCATATGAATTGCAGTGTGATTCAATGAACAATACATATATAGCTGACTTAAAAAAAAAAGGTAAGTCCATAAACACTAAAAGGGTTTACTTCCTTGAGAGCATGTATGACAGCAATGTTAATAAACACCTGCTCATACACAGTATTACATGTGTAAAGTTAAACTTTTAGTTGCAGCTGAAGAAAGCTAATTAAGTGTGCATAAAATGGCTTTTCCTGAACCTGAATATCAGCCCTCCAGACTTCCGGACATCAGTCAAAGGAACTGTAACATGTCTGAAGTGCTATCCATTATCACGTCAAGTCTGCACCAGTGCTGGGCTGTGAAAGATGAAATCATACGGTATATCACACCTTAGTCATAGTCATATACAATCAAGCTGGGGTATGAAAGGTGTTTCTAAAAATCCAAAATCATTGAGAATGAACACCTGATGGCTCCACTGAGGTTTTAGCCTCTTTTAGCTCTTGTTTTGGTTTTAAATGTACCGTGTGCTCTAACACCAACCCCCCTGTAGGCAACCTTTTCTAGCAAAAATGCTCTGATGAGCGTGTATGCTACCTGCCCATTTCCAAAGGCAGACAGGCAAAGTTATTAAGTGGGAGGTGATTGGCGAACATAGTCCATTAGCTTAATACTCAGACATTTATCTCAGGAGATGGTTAGAGTAACAAACCAGTGGATAATGCATTTGTCAGGTGGCCTGATGATTGCAAATGAATGCTAATGGTTCTCCACGTCTAAAGTGTAAGTAGGTAACGACTCCAAAGGCCAAAGATGAATTCAAAGCAGCTTCAAGGAGATCAAGCTACGAGATAATTGCCTGAAAAACAGCAGATAAGGTTGCACTGGTGAGCAGTGCTTGGTGTTGATAATGTAGTTCAGATACTATTATATTATATATCATTTATATGTGACCACAGGACATCCTGTTCATCATGCTGGAGGGTAGCACTGGTGATAGGTACACCAAATCCTGTGTATTAGCTCGGAAAAAATAAAATAATCTATGGGCGCATTAGATGGTGAAAATGTCAAGCTCTGCAGAGAAGCTTGGTGAGGCCTGACACCTCTGGCGCCCTACAAGTCCATATATTCCTTTTAAGTTAGAGGATGGACACCTGTAGGGCAGAGCCTCAAAGGTCAGGATGAAAACAGGACCTGGCCTCATTAAAGCATATCCCACCCTTCCAGACAGCTCAATTAAAACCTAACCTCATGCTGTGCTATTGATCTGCCAAGGCAAGCCTGAGTGTGAGGAGATAGGCTGGGTTAGAAGGGCGAACAGAACTCAGTCGGGAATCTAAAAGCTGTATAAAATCATGGGACCTTGAGGATCTGATATGGCGTTAGTGAGAGGTGCTAATAGGTTAATGTGAGTTAATGAATTTAAACAAATAAATATCAGATTTAATGTCAGCTCTCTCCTGTGGACGCTTTTATTGTTGTGTTTTTCCTCTCTGCATTAATGTTTACTAATCGGGACACAAATATTCATAAATGCATGTGAGCTCATTTGTCTGCGAAAGAAAGAGAATAATTAAACAGAGGCGGAGTCAAGGTTGAGATCGAGGGAGTGAGCGGAATTTCACTGGGACAGGATTTGGAAGGGTGTGGTGTATAACAGTTTTGTGTGTGTGTCTGTGTGTGTGTGTGTGGGCGGAGACTCTCAAAAGGCAGTCGTATGACTGCTGCTTCACGAGGTTTGCCTGAGAAGATTACATAAGTATCGATTGCTTAGAGGTGTCTCTGTCACTCTTCATCCAATGAAGCCTGAAGATTAACCACTCAGTGATCAACCCTGTTTTGTCGGTCTGTCATTCAGCCTGCAATTCTCTTTCATCATTTTCTTTGAAATCTGAGATCTCATAAGAAGTTGAGACAATCTAATCTATCCATTTATCTTTATGGGCGTTGTGGGACGTGCAGGTGAAGACATTTTAAGATTAAAGAGGTTTTCACATGCAAGCTCAAATTTCTCTTTAACACTATTGAATTCTACATACCACTTTATTAGAACATTTACGGCACTGTTACAGGTGGAAAGCAATGCAGCTGACAAAATTCAACATGGCTGAACAACTAAACTATTACAAAACCTACTACATCTTGAACTGTGGTAGCGCTGCACACTTTACACCATCGTGGTGAAGCTCCTAACTGCCAGGTAAAAAACAATACAAACAACGGCAACAGTCCTGACAGAGCCAACAGTACCTGTTTTTTATATCTTACCATAGAAGAAAGAGAAGATGGTCAGTAAAGAAACATTTGCAAGAATAAGAAAAACAAGTTTAGCAATAAAAACAGGCAGCATATTGTTGTGCATGCAAGGCTGGACTTTAGAGGGGGTTCTGCTGCTGAAGACCATGTTGAGCACCTGTCACAGCAACCATTGCAAACATCAGTCCTTATTTAGAAGCTGTTAACCTTTTGTGCAGACATTTCACATCCATTTTGAAAAGAACAACCATTATTCACCTTATTTATTCATGAGAGTCCCCGCACTCATCCTCACAAGCCAAGGACAGTAATGCATCTGAGGAGGTGCGTCTATTTTGGTCTGACAAACAGTACAGGCCTCCTTACCTAGACTTGGTGTTAACATTCATCGTGTTTCTTATGTAAATTAAAGCAGCATTGTACCTAGTATTATAGCACAGCTCAGTGTTTGAGGATTTTCTCTTTTACACAGTGTCAGAATGGCTGTAACTGATGAAACTGCTGCATTTCTATTCCTCCACGTGCTTTTGTTCGTCACGACGCGTCACTGTTCCTGTACCTTAAGCCAAGTGACTATCTTCTGAGTAAATTTCAGCTCAGCGCTACCACAACAGCTTATTATTCATTTTTTTCCTGCTCATTTGTCTTTAGCCATGAAATGCAAAAGAAATAGGAGCTTTAATATATATTTTACTGTGAATAAGTGTCTCTGTGATTTAATTTTCTTGTTTCTTTTCCATTGTCTGGGCTTCACACCTCCTCCTCTTCCACCCACCTCCAGGCCCTACGGGAGAAGTCCCACGAGTCTGCGTTGCTGACGTCGCCTCCTAAATATGCCAACTGCTGTCCAACAGAGGGACTTGCTTCTGTGCCACCAAACAAAAGCCTCGTCTCTGTCTCCTGGCAAAATGAAACTTCCAGGCCCCTCAGGAGAGAAAGTATTTATTAGTGTGTGACTCATTCATCTCTAAAGTGTGTTCACATTAAGCTAGGGCTCCAATCCGTTTGTCTCAATCCATTTAAGGAAAAAAAAATGTAATACTGTCTTTACTTGACTTAATGGCAGTGATTCACCCATCGAGTCAAAACATCAAGTCATTCATACGTGCTCAGCCAATGGATGAATCATGATATGAATAGAATTAAGAGATTGTTTTTGTTCTCAGTAAGTAAAACATTTGATCTTAATCTCCAATAAATTTCTGCTTTTATCTGAATCAAAGCTGTGTACTTTAAGAGTATATTATCTTATCATAATCTTATTTGAGCTTCTTTATTGTAGGCATGTTGGAATGACACTTATAAAGTTCCACAGAGGAAGAGCAAAGGGTCATAAAAGAAATTGAAGTGGGTAAAAAACAGAGCCCACCTGCTGTCTGGAGTTCAGTCTCTTGGCTAAACTGATGTACTCCAGGTTTTTGTAGTCTGTACGGCTGCTCTGCCCCCTCCAACCAATGCCGCCTCTCCTCCCTATATCTTGACTGTCAACAGCCTGCAGTTCCCAACGTCGTAGCTGCATTCGGCCGGGGAGAGCTTATAGGAGAAGGAGGCAAAAGGATGGAGGTTGTGGTCTGCAGTGGAGGTCTGGGAGAGGATGACTGTGTCACAACTTTAGATTTATGATCCGTTATCTGATTTATAAGGTATGTTTGAGGGGTGACAAGGAATGCTGTGATGGTGTCACTGGATCAAAGTCACAGCTGGCTGTTGTAATACACAATATGCCATATTGGATGCAATATAAGTGGGAAGATGAAGCTGCACATATGTAACACCAGACAAACTGTATAGGTATCTTTCTATATCCTTCAACAAAAAGGCTTCTTGTGTTTTAAAACTAAATACTGGATGACTGTTCTTATCAGGGAGATGTAAAGGAAGAAGACTCATGGAAGATTTGATTGAATTTATAAATCCAATCTTATCCCAGGTGCAGAGGAAGGACCCAAACACAGATCAAGCAGGCAGTTGCAAAGAAAATACCCTATAACAGAAAAAAACAGGCAGGAACAGCGGGCAGGTAACAGACAGGTTAAAAAAAATGGCAGTCAGCAACAAAAGATGAAAGACAAACTGACAAACAACAAAGGAGCTGAGGCGGTGCCAAAAGGGACTGGCTAATGGGGAAGTGGGAACAGGTGATCAGGAAGACTAACAAGGCTGATGAGAGACAGGTGAAACTAATCAGGGCGGGACAAGCAATCAACAACTCACAAAGCAAGGAAGTAAACTAAACATGACACATGAGGAGTAAA